GCCCGGCCCCGGGAGCTGAGCCCTCCGCCGCCGCCACTGCGGGGGGGTCCCGGGCTGCCGCCGAGGGCCCGCTGCTGCCCTCAGGGGAGCCCCCCGCCGTGCGGGGCGTCTCTCTTCATGCGCTGTTGTGTCAGAGTAACTAAAACGCGCTAAAATCTTGAACCAAAAACAAAAGAAAAAGGGAATCTCTGTTTTCTTCGTGGTTGTATTCCTGACTGTGCTTACTGCCTTTTCAGATAACAAGCTGCTGGAGAAGTCGGACCTGCACGCAGTGCTGGCCGACAAGCTGCAAGCGGAGAAATATGACGTGCAGAGCAGGCATGAGATCAGGTACTGCCAATTCCCCCGCGCCGGCGCGACACAGCACGAGCAGCGGCCCGCGGGCTGCGACAGCGCGGAGACAAACAGGCTGCCAAAGGGAGTCAACAAAAATCACCTAAAACTGGTTTATAAATAGCTCTGAGCGCACTGTATAGTTGCAATCCTTTTATGATATACAGTGCAGAAAGTTCTGGCGGAGGGTGGTTTATCGCAGCCTCTGGGCTTGGAGGTGGCCCAGCCTAAGCTGCTGTACAGGTCTGACCTATTTGTCCTGTAATGCTCATTAGCTTCGCTTGCTGCTGGTACCTAATGATTTTGATTTGACTTTCAAAGTTACCTGGTCTTTTAAGCACCCTGGCCTAGGGAGAGACTCCTGAATTTCAGTCTGGAAAGGTTTAGAGTGGGGAGAGGAGAAAATTGAGGTTGTGAAGCATTAGTGATTCCACTGTGTGACTTTACACCCTGAGGTAAAGTACTATTGGGTTCTGCTTGTGTGTTCCTGAAATAGAGGCAGGACAGTCAGCCACAATTCCCTGCTTCTATGGGAATTGCTTCCTCTGGTGAAGCACTTTGCTGCATATAATGCAGAAATGTGTGTATGTCTAGTTTGTAGGCAAAACACACAAATAATGGTCAAGGCTGCTGTGTGCAGTACTAGTGAGGAGTGAATCATTCCCGATCTAGCAGGAATCACAGGCAGCACTTCAGCAGGTAGACTGGAATCTCCTGAGTTAGCACGTGGCCACAGGTTGGAGTTAACCCCTGCCTGGAAGTCCTCAAAAGCTTCTCCATGGCTGCAGTTGTCTTGAATCACCCTCAGCTGACAGAAATTTCATCCAGGTTGAACATCTAGTCCAAGACATGAGCTGGAGTAGAGAGGAGAAGGAGCAGAAATGCATGCAAACAGACTTTTAAAAGTAAATTTTAAAGTAAACTTTGATATTATTGGCAGGATACAACAAAATGTGTTGAAATGGAACTAGTTCCCCAGTGCCAGGTAGCGAAGGAAGAAACCATATCACTTCCTCCAAGGACTAGGAGGAGTACTTGGGGGGTTGGCCGTTTGTGTGGATAGCGTTATAGGATATATGGGGTATTATCGCAGACCTTGGCTTTCTACACCTATTTGAGGATGTAGCTTTTTGGAAATGCTGCCTCCTCAAGCGCAGCGTGGTCTGGGGGGTGCTGCCTCGCAGCTGGGCAGTTTCCCTGTGCCCGCCACGGCTCCACAGAGGGTTTCCTGTGTTTCCATTGGTGTTTTTTTTTTTCCTTTTGGAAAAACTGTAATTTGAAACCAAGTTTCTGATTTCCCTGAAGTTTGTGTGTCTTGTGTCTTGCATACTGTATGTGCATGTGTATACACCTATGTCTGTATGTACATGCACATGCATGCACACTTATTGAAAAACTGATCCCTGTGTGCTGTCAAAAGCATGAATTAAATAAACATTGGGACTGTACTTGTTGGAGGATGTTATATATGTTCTTCTGGTTTCTAGAAACGTGGGATAATGTCACGATGCCACTGTATTAAAAAACAATTTAAATACCCCAAGGTATTTAGTACCTCCAAGGCCCACCAGCTCTCTGCAAAACAATTTTTAAGTTGATAAAAGATTTGCAATTCTTCCAGTATTTGCAGAGTTTATTTTTAAAACTCTCTTGTCTTGTCTTGGTGCATGTTTAACCTAGGGCTGGTTATCTTTCATTTGGTATTTGAATTATGTTTCAGGAGTGTATAAAAGTGTGAACCATCCTTTGCAGGTTTTATTTTTCACTGCTGTATAATAGCTTCTTGGTTGGTGATAAGTGGGTTGTGGTGTTAGGGTATTCTCTGTTTCAGCTCATTATCAATGAGCTGTGTTTTATACAGTGTAGAAAATCTGAGAGAAAGGCTGTTCTGAGACGAGCTGGTCAGAGGCACAGAAACAACTGGGTTTGGGCTTGAAATGGCTTTTTCCTTCCTCTCGAACTCCAGCCCAGGACACGATGGCACATGGAATGATGCTCAGCTGCAGGAACTGGCCCAGCTGAAGATAAAGCATCAAGAGGAGCTGACAGAGCTGCACAAGAAACGTGGCGAGGTTAGTAAGTCCTCTTGTGTTTTGTGGTTCATGTGCGGCCCTCTGCCAAAATGTTCTTCATTTTACCAAGTGTATTCATCATTTTAGTTATCAACATGTGTGTTTAAAAAGGTTGTATGTACAGTGAAAGGTACAGCCTTCCCAAGCAACCCGTGTTGATGATCAAAATAAGGCAGAGCTGGTTGATCGTTCAGACTGACAGCCAGGAGATAAGTGTGCATTGTCAGCATGGCAGGTTTTTAAGTGCTTAATTTTGTTTCTCCTGGCTGTTTTTACTGTAAGAATTATGAGAAGAAGAAACTGATACAGTTTGCAGTGAGCAAAACCATGAGCACCAGCTCTGCACTGGAAAGATTTTTGAGTGAGGAAAGTAGGAGTGAGAAGGTGGGTGGTTGTGTGTGGTTTAGTTTGGCTGATTCTGCTTAGCTAAACCATTGCTAGATATGAGTTGACAAACGAGTGCCACCAAAGGTTGCAAGTGCTGTGTGGTCAGGCTGAAAAGGACCCCGGTCCTTTTATGTAGCTGCTCTTGCTTGTAGCATTAGGTGGTTCTGGGCTCAACAGGGAGCCGTTCGGTATTTATTGTCCAGCTGATGCCCTGCATTTTCTTTTAATATAATTCTCTTCCCTTCCTAGTTGGCCCAATCTGTAATTGATCTGAATAACCAAATGCAGCAGAAAGACAAAGAGATGCAGATGAATGAAGCTAAGTGAGTAGGAACAGTTTCTTCTGTGTGGTTGGTATGAGACCTAGACGTTGTTGGGTTGTTTATTTGTATAAATGATATTCTTCAGGAGCCCTACCCATGGGCTAAAAAACCCTTTGTTAGGCATTGTACAAATAGCACAGAAAAGATGGTGTAGGTCCCAAAGAAGGGCCTCATTGTGCTTTTTTTTTTTTTTTTTTTTTAATTGCGTTGTTCTTCCAGGATTGCAGAATATTTGCAAAAGATCTCTGAGCTGGAAACAGAATGCCAGGAATTGCGTAGCAAGCTGCAAGACCTTGAGCGAGCTAATCAGACACTGAAAGATGAATATGATGCTCTCCAGATCACCTTCAACGCCCTGGAAGAAAAACTGAGGAAAACTACTGAGGATAACCAGGAGCTGGTCTCACGTTGGATGGCAGAGAAGGCCCAAGAAGCCAATCGTTTGAATGCAGAAAACGAAAAGGATTCAAGGTGAGACTGATATCATCTGCTTTGTAAGGTACTTCCTGATCTTCTCTAAATACTTACGAACGTGTATGATAAAAAAAAAAAAAAAATCATCTGTGATCTCAGGCTGTTTTGATTCTTGCACAACCAAAAAAAGACTTCAGAACTTTGTGTTCCTCCCCCTGGGCAGCTCAGACAAATGCTTTGTGAAAACATTCTTGTCTTTTAAATGAATAAAATGTGTTTTTGACTTCTTGAGCAACAGTGGACCGTGGTCTAAAGATGATGGATAAATTTTTCTCTGCTGGCGTTAAGCTTGGACTTCTTATCCGTGTTGTGTTCTCCTCGTTTTATCCTTTTTTATTATTTTTTTCTTTCCTTGACCAATTTAAGGGAGTTTTACAAGCTTTGCAGAATTGAGATTCTGTCTTGAGAATTACCTAGGTGTAGGAGCAAACTGTCTTATTCAGAATTCCCTCAACTTGCCCACTAACAGTACCAAGAGAATATAAACTAGGCTGTAAGACAAGCCTCACAGTACATGGTATTTTTGTAAGAGCTTTGCTAATGCAACCATTATTTTTGCAAGTTTGTGCAAGTATTTGCTATGGACAAATATGTTCTTATGTGGGTCATAAACAACCAATCCCCCACAGACTTTTCGTAGTTGTGCTTTGCCTTTACGGAGTCACTGAAGTGAGAGTTCTGTCCTTAACTATTCCCAGTAATAAAATGCCTCTTCTACACTAAGTATCTGGAAGACCGGGATAAAATTCAGGATAAATTTATGGCAGTGGTTCAGTTTTGGAAATACAAAGCCCGTCGGAACTGTGCAGGGTAGTCTTTGGGGTAGGATTAAGGAGGGCTTCTGAAAATAACCTTGTTCCCTTTTCGCAGGAGACGACAAGCCAGGCTGCAGAAGGAGCTGGCAGAAGCTGCCAAGGAGCCGCTGCCCGTTGAAACGTAAGCAGTCTCAGTTCAGAGCCCTTCTCCATCCTCCTCCGTGCTTCAGTTTTATGGAGATGTCTGATAAATGGCATCGTTGTTATTTCTAGATTTGGTGGTGTAGAGGAGTGTTTAAACTTTGGTGTAAAGTCAAAAATGTGCAGTAACACTCCTTACTTGAACTTCTAGAAGGGGGGAGCTACGTTAGATCTAAAAATAGGTACTTGGACTGAAAGTCCCAAGAATGGTTCATGCAGTGAGCTTGCATTTGTATCTCAGCAGAAAAACATTTGTTATGCAGTGCCTTCTGAGTGTGCCATTAACAGCACAATTACTTAGCTCAGTTTGCTTTGCAGGTTTTTAAGAAGCGCTTAAATTCTTTCATTCCCATAGTTTATTTAAGCAGGACTTTCCATGGAAGATTTGCTACTGACCTTTATGTCCCAGGCCAATGGAAAAATCGTTCCAGCTCGTAAGAACAGGGATTTCCTTCTCTTTTGTCCAGTGTTTGATGTAAATAGTCTAAACATTAAATTCTTCAACAAATAACAGCACACTGAATGAAGAAACCCACATGTAATACATCTATGGGCATTCTTTCTGCTGAGATTCTCCCTCTGCATTACCAAAGCGAGACCTTTCTCCTTCAGAGCTGAGCTCAGAAGTGGCTGTGAATATTTTTACTTTCTGTGCTGGTGGTGCTCTGAGTTTCCTAAATCTTTTGCTTTGAGGCACTGAAGTTCAGAAGAAGCCTTTAAGAATTTCTGGAAAAAATTGCTTCTGTAAATTACTCTGACCGTTTCACAGATATTTTTGATCGCTTCATTTCGATTTTTTTATTTTACAGGATTTATTTTGTTGTACAAGTGCACTGCACACTGAAAGGCAAAACTGCAGCATTCCAAGTGTGACCCAGGGTTTAGTCACTGCAAAAATACTTTTAAGTTAACCTGGAAAGCTCTTTTGCTTTACAGAATTTTAAAAGCTCAAAAAAAAGAACCCTCAGCAGTTAAACTTGCTAGCATTTTATAGAAATACCAGCATGATAATTCTGGCTGTAGCATACATTTTCTGTAGCCTTTTCATGCTTATTGTCCTCCAAAATTTTAGAATTTAATATGCAAATATATTCTGAAATATCAGACTAAAATTGCTCTGTTGCAGCTGAATTAGGCCTATGTGATGTCTTGCATGGCAGGAGTTGGATAAATTCTTGCTATTGATGCTGAGTTTAACCTTCCTGAGCCATCCAAATGACATGGTGCTGCAGGAAGCTCTGTGGCTGGCTGTAAAGAGGGGTGTTTCCTCTCACTTCAGCAGGGATGATGATATCGAAGTACTCGCGGACGAAGCCTCTGACACCGCTGAGGAGACGTCCCCCGTGCGAGTTGTCACCCGCACGTCCAGGTGGGTAGACGTGGATGGTCTCCTGCTGTAGCCTGAGCAAGAGCAGGGGGGTAAGTGTGTTGGAACAAGCGAGCGAGCAATTTTGAGGACGTTGCTTACAATTTCTACTCCCTTTAGCTGGATCACAGTTCACTATCCTTATCCTAGCATTATAAGACCTACATTACCTGCTGTCTTCTCAGTTACCATTTTCTAGATTTGCTTTGGTTTTTTTTTCATTGTTCTCTTCAAATTAAGTCAAGATATTGCCTGAAAATCTGTATCTAATCTTAACAATAGAGTAAAGGCTCATTTTTATTTTTTAAGACACTAAAATGGTTATTGTAGTGTGAGTTTAATCTCTGTAACTACACAAGCTGTCAACATGACTTTGCTAGTACTTGTATTTTTACATTTAACAGACAATACTGAAAATATCTTCACCTAGCCTTAAATGCAATTTTTTCTTTCTATAAAGTAGAAGTGAGTGGAAAGGTAAGAGGTAACCTCTGTGAGAACAGAGATTAATTCATTTGAAACTTCAGACCTGGCAAACTGCTACCTCTAAATCTAGCAATTTTGGGGCTGGAGTTTCAAAGGAAATTTCACATGCAAATCATATTCTGAGTTGTCATTACTGGTGACTCTTGTAGTGATGCCTTTCTGGGGTGTTTTCTTTCTCGGGGCTGGGCCTGCAGGGGAGGGAGTCTTCCCAGGGGCTTGCTGCTGTAAACTGTTTGTGTTGATCTGTATTTGGAGAAGCTATTCACAAGGTTTAAACCTGTCCTCCCCTCCTTTAGTAAGCGACTCTCCCAGCCAGCTGGAGGCCTTCTGGACTCTATCACTAATATCTTTGGGTAGGTTAGAACTCTTTCACCTCTCGTTTCGTGTATTGGTTTCAATGTACGCCACAATCTTGGTGGCGCAGGGAATACAGACAAATGATTTCAGCCTCTCTTCTAGCTTCTGCTCTTTTTTTTCCTTTCTTTTTTTTTGTTTTCCTCAACTTCCCGTTTCTTCCATCTTGCCGTGTGCTGACCTCTGACCTTTCCCTCCAGTCTGTCTGAGTCTCCCCTTTTGGGACATCCATCTTCCGATGCTGCCAGGTGAAAACGTTATCCGCTCTTAGTCCAGCATGTGAATGTGTCCCGGTGAAGTAATGTGCAACCAGCTGCATTATCCCCAGTAGATGTCAAGTGTTGGTGACACTGGCTAGAAACCTTCTGCAGTTAGAGATGCAATGAGAAAACATGAGTTTTGTGCTCGTATTCCATTGCACTTTAGTGCAATACAGTTATTGAAAATAAGTCCATGGGGGTCTGTGTTTAATATCCAGAGTGGAGCCAGTCCTAAGTCGAGCTCTGTGTTAGCTGGATGGTCTTTGCTTAAATGGTGCAGTCCAAGCTCTTGAACGGAGCGTAGTGCTGCAGTGGTGCTTAGGCTCCCTAGACACAGTGATGGAGCTGCAGGCTCTCCAGAACTCGGCTGCAGTCACTCCCTTGTTTCTCTTTCCTAATAGGAAAAAAAGGTGACTGCTCAAAAATGAGGTCAGTAATCGCTTCTGTTAACTTAAGCTGGTGTACTGTGAAACACTTAAAGCCACAAGGGAATGCTGGGCAGTATGATGACTGTGCTTCTTGAAAGGAGGGAGAAAAGAATGTGAAAACTCCTCTTTTTATCTCTGGGTAGCGTAGTTGAGTTCATCCAGGTCTGTGCCTGTCACTCAGGGAAGCTGTGCTCGCTTCTGTTTTTAAAATACTTTTGTTTCTGTCTCAACTCAGGAGACGCTCTTTGTCCTCGCTCCCTGCTCCGCAGGATAACGCCGAGCCCCATCCGGGTTCCAGTAAAGAAGTGAGGGTGCCCAATACTGCCATATGTGTCTTTGTAAGTATGAAGAGGATTCTCATTTCTGCTCTCTCTCACTGTCTTTAGAGGATGCAAATCCTGTATTCTGGAAAGTAGTTGCTAACTGGTCTGCTGAAAGTGGCTCAATTAAGTGCCAAACAAGGAGTTCTTGATTGGGTAGTTCAGCCCATTTAATCCGAATGTTTCTGGCACCGGTGCTCCCCTGGGTGCTCGTGTGCTCTGTCTGTGGTTGCTGTGTGTCTTGCTGAGGTCGATGATGACAAGTAAAAGGTCTGAGGGCACAGGGAATTGCACTCCCTGACCCCTTGGCTCCCAGCACTCCCTGTTCGGTCACGCTGCAGCAGAGCTGTGATGGAGGGAGGGACTGCTGACAGTTTGGGATTAATTCAGTCCCAGTTCTCCACAGTGAAGGGAGTTGTGGCACTGGATGTCGTCCAACAGAACTGCTTAAGAGGAGCTCGGGGTGCTGGGGTGTCTTCATTTGTTGTGTGTGATCTAAAGTTTTCAAGCTGAGACCTCCTTTGTGTGTTGCTTTGCCTTTATAAGGCCATACTTAAAATTTCCAGCAAGAGCATTTCCTTTTCCAATGGAAGATACTGCTTATCTGAAAAGCAGCTGCTTGTCTGACCACTTCTCCAATTCCATATTCTCAAGCAAGGAACGAAGAGCTTTCTCCAGTGCTAGTGTGGATATAAAATGCTGTGTGCTTTTAGTTATTCTGACCATAATTCTGATTTCTTTTCTTTTTTTTTTCCCTCCAGAATAATAGCATGACCACACAGTGGCTCACCACAGCCTAGGCTGCCCTGCTACCTTCTTTAGTGGAAGTCTTGGAGTGGGGAGGAGCAGTGTAACCTAAGTGAAAATAGGGCCATAGCTTCTGCAGCAGGTTTGAGGAGGAGGAGCAGGCTGTGACTTCAGCTAGGACACAGCTTCTAGGCAGGAGCTTTGACCACGCTTGTTCAGAACGGCTCTTCTGCACTGGCAGAAAGATCAGATTTGAAAGGTTGACCTCTAGATATGAAACCAGGTTCAAGGACCATGGACCACATTCTAGAAAAATACAAGTATTAGAAGAAAGAAAAAAAAATAGTTTCAAAAAGAAAAAATTTCACTTGCTGAAAATGCTTAACAAGGAATGCAACAAATGAGTTAAGAGTGTGCTATATGGGGGGGAAAAAAAGTGTAAAGAGTTTAAAACTGGGTTCTTAACTGGAGAGGGGGAGAAAATGGAAGAAGGTATCTTGATACTGAAGTTTTCATAAACTTTAAAACATTAAAAATCAGTATTAATTTGTCAACCCAAACTTCAAAACGTTAGGCCATGAGAGTGTAGGGGTGTTGCTGCTCCTGCATGGCTTAAGCTCGAGTTTCCTGTCGGAGAGCTGCAGTTCCAAGTCACAGCTCTTATTACTAAAAAATACACCAGAGCGAAGCTGCATTATCACCAGTAAAATAAATGAACGTGCTCGATTCGTTACGCTGCTTTGAAAGACTTCCTTAATTTAAGCCTGACTTTGTTCTCGTGTGGTTGCATGAACTGGTCAGATTTTGTTCCACAGCTGGCTCTAGATGAGGAAACGAGAAGCTGCTTTCCTTCTATGGCATATCACCTAATATTTTTTTCTTTCCTCCTCTTCCCTTATTTTTTTTTTCTGATCTAACTTAAAACCAGACACCTTAACTTGCAAAGCCTTAACTTAAGAACCATTCTAAGGTGTCTTGCAGTCTGCTAGCACTGCTGAGTCTTGCTGATGTTTTCTTACAAGCTTTCTGCTTCTCCTTTAGATAAGGATCAGTTATCTTGCTCTGTTTAGAGAGCATCAACAATAGCCAAGGTTGAGTCTGTGGCTTTGTTTCCTATGTACTGCTGAAAGGTTTGCAGTCATCGTTCAGTATAGCCTAGTCTGTAAATCCTGTGACTTTCTAGTCTGTGTTTTTGGGGTTTTCTGCTGACGCTGTTTTGGGTGGTTGTTCTGTCCCTCCTGCTCCTCAGGACGCGCATGACGGGGAGGTTAACGCGGTGCAGTTCAGCCCTGGCTCCCGGTTACTAGCAACAGGAGGCATGGACCGGAGGGTTAAGCTTTGGGAAGTCCTGGGAGGTAAATGTTTTTTCTTTTTGGGGGTATGTTTGGGTATTAGTGGGAAGTCCTGGGAGGTAAATGTTTTTTTTGGGGGGTATGTTTGGGTATTAGCTGAAATTATATCTCAAATTATAGTTAAATTCATGTTAGTGTCTGTTCTAATCCATTTATTAAGTTCTGTTTGTCTTTTTCTGCACAGATAGGTGTGAGCCCAAAGGTTCCCTCTCTGGTAGCAATGCTGGGATTACAAGCATAGAATTTGATAGTGCTGTGAGTACCTGCACAATATCCACTGTTTGTCATGGAGGGTAAAAGAACTGAATTCTCTTGTGCTCTGCTGCTGGTTTCCATCCTGACACTTTGAAAAGTTACCTCAATATTTTTAACTCAGCTCTCATGAGACTAGCTGCAAATAGTTTGGAAATTCTACAAAATGACCTTTATTTGGTGTACTGCAGTCTTCACACAGTTCAGTGCCTTTGCTTTAAAATTCAGAAGATCAAATGCAACTTATTCATTGTCTGTTTTGTTAAAATTGTGACGGGATAGATTAGGTTTTACCTAAAGTAAGAAATTAGTCTTCAGCTTCTTTTTAGTAGCTAAAAGAATGAAAAACACTGAGATTTTAAACTTCTTTGAGGTTTATCCCTGCACGTGCTTTGCTGAGGTCTGTGATGGACAGTAAAAGGTCTGATTATCCGATGGGTGCTCATCCCTGACCCCAGCTCCCAGCAGTGTCTCGCTGGTCCTGCCGCAGCGATGGGGCGCCTGGCAGAGTCCTTGCTGACAGCCTGTGATGTGTCCAGCTCATGTCGACCTGGAGTGTTGGAGACATGGCTGTAGTCCACATCCAACAGTCCCACCTGAAGGAGTTTGGGGTCTTGGGCTGTTATATCTGGACATGTGATCTGACTTGTGTGCTGAGACCTCTTCCATGGCAATGTTTTACCCCATGGAAGGCAGAGCAAGCCCGAGGCAATGCCTTCAGTTTGCTGATTCTATGCTCTGACTCATTACTACACAACCCAAAGCATCTCTCATGTGGCACTGACCATCTCGTTATCAGTGCTATTAATCTGTTGGAGAAACTAGTTCTGAATGTTTTCAGATCCCCTGAATATGCTTCAGGCAAGAATTGCTAGAGGTGAGATGCAACTGAGCTTTGGCTGCTGCTTCAGAAAAACCTTTGAGTGCGAATTAGAACCTAGTCTTCACTGCAGCAGCTGGGGGCAGAAAGGAGAGGAGCATGGTGCATGCTGCTCTGGGTACTGTTATTCCTTTTATCTGTAGTCATGAATCCACAAACTGACATCACGTTTAGGGAGAAGTTACTGAAAGTTATTACAGCAGCTTTCCTTTCTCACACGCTGCTTTTTTTCCTGCTATTTTCCTTGGCAATATAGCACTAATATGGCTTTAATGACTTATTGGAATTATTTTGAGTTTAATAATTCCCTTAATGACTAGCAGAAGTAGTTTCAAATTATTCTTGTTTTTGCAGGGTTCTTACCTCTTAGCAGCTTCAAATGATTTTGCCAGCAGAATCTGGACAGTTGATGACAATCGATTACGGGTGAGTCCTTTGAAGGCCAACGAAGGTCAGGCTGTTCCTGCCCTGTATTCCCCAGTCTGATGGAGACATAGTAATTTTGGAATCTGCATCTATAAATACATTCAACAGTTCTTTGTGTGAAGCCAGTCTTTGTTTCTTTACAATTGAAGAGTCTTCACCACAAGAGAAAGGACTAAAATGCTGTGTTGGCTTCTGCACATTCTCTAGGACATTCCATTGCATCATATTTTCATACTATGAACATTTGCAGCATCTTCTGTGGAAACTATTACGTGTGTCCTACGTTTTTTGAAGAACTGCTTAAATCTTCTACCCTCATTCTGAAGTTTCTCACCTCTGCAAGAGGTTGCAGCAGACAAAGATTTTCTTTGTGTCAGGGCAGTCGTCCTTTGGCCCAACTGTGAAAAAAATACACGCCTTAACCTGGTTGAATTTATTCTGAATATTTAGGAAGAGATTCCTCCTGCCCTCCTTAAGGAAGGACTCTCTGTAGTCTCTCTACCTGTAGGCATAAGAGCTTGCAGGTTTCATGATTAGCTGGAGAAACTACAGTTGAAGGTGATGTGTCTCATTGCTGCTGGGAGGGTTGATGTCTGTTTTGATATATGTGTGTGTGTATATATATGTATGCATCATGGTTATAAGCATAATACATATACGTGCATCATGCTTATATATATATGTGTATATATATATATGTATATAAAGCACATGATTTGTTTTTCCCAGTGAATCAGTAGAGGTACAAATTGCAGTCCCTAGGGCAGCCTTGGCGAGGCTCCTGACCAGCAGCACTCGTGAGCAGGACGGCCGCGGGCCGCGGTCCTCACGTGCCCGCTCCCTTCTCTCCTCAGCACACCCTGACGGGCCACAGCGGGAAGGTTCTGTCGGCCAAGTTCTTGCTGGACAACGCGCGCATCGTTTCGGGGAGTCACGACCGGACCCTCAAGCTGTGGGACCTCCGCAGCAAAGTTTGTAAGGAAACCCCACTTCTGCCTTTGGTCCAGCTTCGCGTTTTCTAGTGAATGTGAACAAAAGCATGATACCAGCCAAATCACTTCATCTTGCTGGCCTGAAAAGGTAGAAAACAGCAACTATGTTATTTGGTTGCTGTTTGGGTAATCGGATCTGATTCCTTCTGCCTGTTACCTGAACCAACAGCTAGAAATGGTGTATGCAGGAAGCACTGTTGATTTAAGGGGCAGCCATGTTCTGGGATCTCTTCTTGTTCTTCAGCCAGTGGAATTTTTGATCTTTCACTAAAAACTTGAGGCCAGGGCAGCCCTTTTAGCGTAGAGCTGGATGCAAGTGTCTCTTGGAAGCTTCCCTAAAACTTCTCCACCTCAAACGAAGGTAATGCTGGGTTTTTAGGTGTTTTTTGGGGGAAACAGTCACCTAGTTCTCTTGGCTTTTGTTCTGTTGGTAATTCTTGAGCCTGTGGGCCTTGAAAGGAGGGACATGGAGATTCAAAGTTACCTTGACACCTGAACCACAAACAGAGGGTGTCTAGGCAGTTTCCTGTTGCTTAACCCTGGCAAATTCAGGCTGGCTAAATGCAAAGTGGAGGACAGCTCCCAGCTGTCCTGGGAGCATTTAAAGGGATATTAGATAAAGGAGATTGAGAAGGGCAAAGGGGTTGCTGAATGCTTAAGTGAGGATTATTCCAAGCCAGTCTGTCTGCCCCCTTGCACTTCTTGGGTACTGCTGTGCGTAGCCAATCCTTCACGTGTGTGGTTTGCGATTGTTTTCTGACTGTTTCCACCAGCTTGTGTCACCACTGATGCATCTTTTTTTAGGTATAAAAACAGTGTTTGCAGGATCTAGCTGCAATGACATCGTATGTACTGAGCAATGTGTAATGAGTGGACATTTTGATAAGAAAATTCGTTTCTGGGACATCAGGTAAAACAATTTTAAGAGAGTTTGTAGTGTAGAGTCTGAGAAGTAAGGGACTGAGAAGGCCTTTAATTGTTAGATAGTTGATTTGTTGGGTCAATTTTCTTTGGGGTCTTTTTGAGACCATGGAGGAGGGGGCTTGTTTTTAGGATACCTGTTCTGAAGTGGCAAACTGCTTTAATGCAGGTATTTTATTTTGGCCAGTATTTGCCTTTCAAGGCAGTATTTAGTTTTTCAGAGGGTGGGACTGCAAGGAGGAACATTCCTGACTGGAACATTTTGCACATATGTCCATAGGGTTGATGTTTGGGAAAGACTGAAAATGTGACAATAAAACAATAAGTTCGTTCTTCTGTTCTTGTGCACTGGGACAAGTCAAAGTTTTGATGCATTGACTGGCTCCTGGACCTTGGTTTATTTCCCTTTCTCCTGTGTTTAGGACTGAAAGCATAGTAAAAGAAATAGAACTGTTTGGGAGGATCACAGCTCTGGACCTGAACTCGGAGCGAACGCAGCTCTTGACCTGTTCCCGCGATGATCTGCTGAAGATCATTGACCTGCGGGTCAGCGTGGTCAAGCAGACGTTCAGGTGAGTGTGACTTCCAAAGGCCCACAACAGTGTTTGGATCCCTGAACTTTGGGCTGCTGGTTGTCCTCCATGTTTGGGGTTTTTGCAGTATCTCCACGGACAGAGCAGTCTCCAACTCTTTTGTTGGTTTTTGGCTATATTCCCCTGTGGGTAGTAAGGTTCTCGACAGTCTCAATGCCATCGATTTGCTTTGGTGGATCTTGTTATTCGCCTCTCTAAAGATGACAGGTCATGTTAGAAGCATTAGGCCTAGGAAACAAGAATTTCTTCAGGTGTGATTGATGGGAGCTGTATGGGAATGTGTTATGACAAAGGAATGAGGGAGCTTATTCCACAGAATGTACAAATCCTTGTTCTGGTCTTTTGTAAGAACGAAGAAGTCCATCGCCTTACAAATGAAATAACATTTATCTGACTCTAACTTTTCAGTGCCCAAGGATTTAAATGTGGATCTGACTGGACAAGAGTTGTGTTCAGGTAAGGTTAGATATAAGCAAGGTATCATCTGTTTTTTTTTTTTTTTTTATTTTTTATTTTATTTCTTTTTTAACCCCCTCCCCCCCCAAAAAAAAAAGAGTCCTTCAGGATTTTTGGTCGCATTGTCCCCATTTTACGAGTTTAAAAAAAGAAAACTGAAGCAGAGTTTGTGGCTTGCAGAGTGTCACATCTTGGTCAAGACTGGTTCCATAAGGGGCAGAGCATGTCTGTAAATAATCAAGATGCCTTAATTTTTTTCAGTGCTTTCACTTGTTAGTGTCTCAGCTAGTGATGCTTAACTTTTTTATAGAATGTGACAAGTTGCTTAAGAAGCTGAGGGTGGAATAATGATCTATAGTGATAAATTGCTCACTCTGAGGAAAGCTTTTCTCTTTCTGCTGCTACTTCTCCGATCTTGTAGCCCTGATGGTAACTATGTGGCTGCTGGCTCAGCTGATGGGGCGCTCTACGTGTGGAACGTGCTCACGGGCAAGTTGGAGAGGACGCTGGCAAAGCATCACAGGTGAGGAGGAGCTGCCACGTGATCTGATGTGGCCCTGTGGCCTGGCAGTCATGTTGAGCTAGGAGACAGTTGTAGTCTTACAGCTTTGCAGCTTCCTGTGGTGTGCATGCGTTTCTTAATGCAGATTCCATGTAGGTTCATGTCAGTAACCTACAAGTTAGATCAACTTCTCAAATTGGCATGTGATTCTGGTAAAGTATACTTGAATATTCTGAAGAAATATCCTTCTCAGGGTTATAAAAACAGGAGTTTCCTGAGAATGAGAGTGCTTGTTCCTGTGTACCTGCATTACTCTAGCATTTCATTCCCTTGCTAAGTGCTGTTGTGCAAGTGGTCTCTCTTTGTGAACTTACACCTGGCTCCCGTTTCAGTTCTCCTATCAACGCCGTCGCGTGGTCTCCGGCGGGCGCCCACGTGGTCAGTGTGGACAAGGGAAGCAAGGCTGTGCTGTGGTCTGAATTTTGACTGCACGGAGGGTGAAAGGCAGAGCATCCAGCGCTCCATGTGCGGTGCTGCTGGTCCGTGGCTGGACAGAACAGAGCCCCGAGCCCAGATCCATCGTGAGCGGGTATTTAGCGAGCGCCTGGGCTTTGCTTCCTGATGGGAAGCTCCAAAGCGATGGAGAAGGAGCCTGAGTCAGACTTCCCGTGGCCCTAAGCGCACTGCGGCATTCGGACTCAGCAAGGGATTAGCTGATCTGGACGGAGAATGCTATTTAGTCATGCCTTTACATGCAGTATCTATGCACTGAGCAGAGCTGAAGATACTAGTGGGATTCCTCACCAGACAGCTGTGCCAAATATCCTGTCACACACATGTATCTACAGCACTTCTAAGTTGGAAATGTTGGGAAGAAGTTACCGTGTATTCTGACTTGTCCCGTCTCCTGTGTTCTGTTCTTGTGGCCTAGTTTAGGCACGGGGTGTGAAAGTCCTGAGGTAGGGACACGGCCCAGGCAGTCTGCGAGGTGCTGGAGGAGCTTTTACAGAGCATCTCCTGGGGTTCTGGCAGCTCTGCCTTGGGGCTGCCAGCTCAGTTCGGAGCTGCCCTGATGCCAACCCGGGCTCTCCAGCGCTGCCAGCTGAGCTCCACGCATCCATTTCAGCTGCCTTGGAGGAAACGGTCCGGTCTTCGGGACTTCTGCACCTTTCTGTTAAAATGCTTGGCTACCACAAAATAAGGGACTCTAATTTTTAATTTCACAGTCAATTTGGTTACTGGGTGTGAAGAGAGAAGTTCCACTGCTGCTATGCTGCCATGCTGAGGAATGTAGGAATACTGTGACTCCAGTCCCACCATGCAGACGTTTGGTCCCTTTTTCTGTTTATCCGTCCTGTCCCGGAGGCTGTCATGAGAACATGAGGGGTAGGGGAAACAGTGGGCTTAAATTCCTGACTCCAGGGTTTTGGTGCTGGCAATTCCAGGCCACTTACCCCCTTTCTGAGCACACGTGCAATATTCCTGTTTGTGCCGGAGCCTTCGCTGTGCCATGGAGCAGCATCCTGGCTCTGTATAAGCATCCAAAACCAGGAGGTGGCCAGGTGGGGCTACTGGCCTAACGTTATCAGCCAGACCTTCGCCCATCGCCTGGCCCTCGAGACAAGCCACCAGCGTCTTGCGCCTTTTTATTTGCACTTTATTTTCTTCTTTCCTGCTCGCGTTTTACGAAGGAAGCGTGTTCTCCGGAGGGGCTGAATCCGAGGGCAGCTGCTGTGACGGTCGCCTCTCTAACCTGGCCTCCTGCTCAGACACCTTCTGCAGAGGGGAATTGGAGTACACGGGGCAAACTTTTTATTTATTCAGCTGCCCCTAAGAACTTGACTGTAAATAAACCTGTGTTCTGCTTTTAAAACCCTATAATGTTCTGGTTCATTTGTGTGTGTGCGTGTGATCATCTGAAGAGCGGGACCTAAAGTGGGTTCCTCCGTGACGCTTTTCTGGTGAATCCTGGATTTGGGTTCAGCTGCATTTGTGGGGGTTGGTTGGTTTGTTTTTCCCCTCTCCTCTAGTACTTGGAGTGTTGCTGTGTTAAAATTTTAACCCAGTAATGGGAGCGACAACCTCCTGTGGAAGACACGAGCCCTCCTTGAAGATAATGCTCCTGATTCCGCTTCAGACAGATGAAGCGAAGCCTTGAACTCCTTTTGCTCTAATATACATGTTTCATAAGTAATTAGGAGCTTTCATTGATGACCCTCCTCCTTTTTTCTTGGGAAACTCTGGCCAGCTTTGGAAAGGAGAACTCTAGCAGAGATGAAAGATGAGAGCTGTAATTCAGAAGAGGAGCCTGTTGGCCTCCTGCCTGCTGCTCTGGCAGAGGGTCCTCTCGCAAAGGCACCTGCGGAGACCCCGGGCGACCTTGGCTGCTGCGGATGGGTGCAGGACAAGTCAGCACAAGGAAAGATTAGTGGGAGACTAAGACAGTGTAATAAAAATGCAGGAGGCTCTGCTGAGGAGGATCGGAATGGGTTTAGGATGTTTATAATTTAGCCTGCTGTGTTTTTCTACAATATGGACGTGGGCTCTTACACAAAGAGCTTTGTTTTGCCTCTCAATGCTATTAAGAGCTAGGAGCTAAAACCTTAGGCCTTTGGAATAAAAATTCCTCAGGACCAATGTATCTAGGAAATAGTAGTCATCAGTTATAGCTATTTTTTTTCTCATAGTTCATTTAATTACATTGCTCATTTTCAGCTTCAAACTGCAGAAGGTAGAAGCAAAGTGAAGGTATGGGCCGTGCCCAGGGGGCTGTTGCGGGGCTCCCGTGCTCCGGGACGTGTCCTGCTGGAACGGCGCTTCCCCCGGGGCTCCCGTGCTCCGGGACGTGTCCCGCTGGAACGGCGCTTCCCCCGGGGCTCCCGTGCTCCGG